ATATATTTCATAACCATACATATACAAAAATCCATTCACTTGGTGCTCCAAATAATCTCTCTATAATCACACTATAGTACAAGTATTATTAATTATAAGGTTAAAGATTTAGGTTATGAAAGTGCATTAACCATCTTGAGAATGAAAATTTTTCTTATTAGAGATATCTTATTTGTTGCCAATGTTTTTCATATGTGGTAGATAGAGCTTTCTTTACACTAGTTATGGCTCTCTCATTCAATTTGTTAATACTCTTTATCAATGAATAACATACAACGCCTAATGATTGTCTATTCAAGCGTAGTATAATTATTAATTAAATTCAAAAAATAGGTTTTTGCAAAATTCTTTAGAATATATAATACTCAATTTGAAATTTCTAATCCCTAAAGTCGTTGTCAAATAAATCTACTGATCCTCGCTTTGTTTTCTTCATATGACATTTACTCCTAATTGTCTCGTAAAACTCTAAAGTGCCTAACTTCAATCAAACTTTTTAGAGAAAAGCACATACTTAATAGTAATAATGTACACCAAAATAAGGACATCCCATAAGAAGAACACTAAAAAACACAATAGAGTTTACATCATTTAGCGAGATCCCCTTACATCCACAATATCATATGATATATATATATATATATATATATATATTCGCTAGCCTATTAACAGAAATACTAAATAATTGTTTACCAAAAAAAATTTTCTTCTTCTTCTTTCTCTCTCCCTCTCTATCTCATTCTCTCCTCAAACTTGAACAAGATCCCACCATCTACAATGCTCACCAAAAATAAAGAAAAGCTTATTTATTTCTATGTCAACCCATCTTCCTAATCACTAGCCACTGTGACCATTATTAGTTCTCCCTTAAAAATGTCACTTACTTCCAAAGATCAAATTCAGTTCCTTTGTCATATATTGTAAATCACCTAAGAATTAAACATCAACAAAGTTAACATCTAACCTCTTATAACTCCATTAGCCATTTCTTCAATCTCTTCCTCTACACATAGCTAAATGAAATATAAGAATGAGCGATGTCTCTATTCATTAATGTGTTCCTCTTTTTATAGAGTAACATGCGAGAACTTTCACAAACAAACAAAAACAAAAACCCAAGAGTGAATATGATCTAAAAAATTGGTGGCCGTCAAATTTGTTCCGATCATATTAAAAATTTTCAAAACTTTAAAATGTTTCAAATCAAACTTGTATGATAGAAACATGAAAAAATTGAGCTCCACCAAAAATCAAAACATTGAGATTGCATGACCAATTAAAATCAGGATGTACCTCCTCAATTAGGTAAAATTATTGAGTCCGCGCACCGCACGCATCTCTGCGTGCGGTGGGCCAATAAAAACTCTTCATTTACCAAAAAGTGTATGTCAGTGGACCTATTTTTAATTTTTTTTTCTTTAAAAAAGATTCACTGGACGGCGCATGAGAGAATAATCCCTCCTCAATTAGAGGGATGAGAGAAAATTTTTTTCCTTATAAAATTCCCTTTGCACAACTTCTCATCTCTAAAATGCAAAAGCTTATGGTTTTATTACCATGCTCTCAAAATCAATACCCAAAGTTGTCACGCACTTGTACTCAAAGCCCAACTTATCGTGGTCTATTTGCCCAAATTTGATGTCTATAAAATTCTAAGACTTTAATTATTATTTATTTATCCCATTCAATATTCATATTCGAATATCAAAATATAAAAAATTGACCCGGCTCCATATCCCTTCAGCTCTTTTAATTAAAAAAATCAATTTTATTTTCATTAATTGTATATTTAATCTAAAAGTCATAATTAATTTTTACTGCACCCAACCAAACAATTAAAACAACAAATTTTATTATTGCAAGAAGAAAAATCAAATGGGGCCTTATAATCTCCCAAAAAATTACATCTCAGAAGGTTTTAGAGAGAGAGAGGTTTTAGAGAGAGAGAGAGAGGAAGGCCGGCGCCCATCTAATTTCCATTATTCCAAAAATGTCCGACCTTTGCCGGCTTTTTAAGACGCTCTCCGCTTGATGACTTTGTCATCTTCTTCCTCCTTTCTCCATATATCTCTCCCACCTTCTTCCCCCTTCGACAACTCAGTTCTAAAATGGCGAAGAAGAAACAGAGCACCCCTGCTTCCACTTCTGTAACAAACAACTGTAACAGAGGAAACTTAAACGGCATTGAAAAGGTGAGGAGGACGAGGAAAAGCGTGCCGAGAGAATCTCCATCTCGGAGGAGCTCCATTTATCGTGGCGTTACAAGGTTCTTTCTTTTTTTCTTTTCTCTTTTCTCTTTTTGCAGATCTGTCCTCGTTTTTCTTACACTGAAGGTGAAATGGAAATGGAAAAGCTGTATGAATTTTTTTGAAATTAGCTTTCAGCGATTTGTTTGGTTGATGAAAATTTGTGATTTTTTTTTTTTTGTTTTTGTTGATGAGAAATTTGAGTTTTGTTTCAAAGAGAGAGGATTAAACTTTTATTTTAGTTTTCGGTTTATGAAATCAGGAATCAGAAATGAATAAAAATGCTTTCTTTGATCTCTCTGTTCAAACTTTGTTTTCAAAATTGGATTTTTTCAGGCATAGGTGGACTGGAAGATATGAAGCTCATCTGTGGGATAAGAATTGCTGGAATCATTCGCAAAACAAGAAAGGAAGACAAGGTTTTTATTTGTATATATATTTATTTATTTATTATTATTGTGTTTCTGAGATTATATTGTCATAATTAATACTTTGTTTTATGTTTTCTTTCTCACTTTTTGATTGCTGCTGTGGATGGAATTCGAATGCAATGCAGTTTATCTTGGTGAGTGTGATGAATTGTAAAGATGAAAAAACAATGGAGATAAACTTATAATTTAAGTTTTTATACTTTTAGAGAGATTTTTCTTAAGATTTCTTGCGCATATAGGAGCATATGATGATGAAGAAGCTGCAGCTCGGGCATATGATTTAGCTGCATTGAAGTATTGGGGGCAGGACACCATATTGAATTTTCCTGTAATTTATATATATATTTTTTTATTTTTTGTTCATCTGTTTTTATTTCTTTTCCCTTTTTTCTTTTTATTAATATGATTTCTATTTGTATAAAAATGGCAGCTTTCAAACTACACAGCGGAGGTGAAAGAAATGGAAGCGCAGTCCAAGGAAGAGTATATTGGATCCTTAAGACGGTAAAATCACGGCCAAAAATATAAAAATGGATTATCACAATAAAATAATTGATTAATTATCATTATATTATATTATTTTATTTTTTTAAAATGCAGGAAGAGCAGTGGATTCTCAAGAGGAGTCTCAAAATACCGAGGTGTAGCAAGGTTAGCATATTGTTTTTTTTTTATTATTATTAAACATTTCTAAATATTCGCTAGAAAATATTATGTTCGAATAATCTGACATGCGGATGAAGAGATAAATTACATCATGCCGTCGTCCGAAAATACAGACGTAATATTTTCTCAAGCGAAAAAGAGCTTATATATATATATTTTTCTTTGATATCACAATAATCTCAAAGCAATACAAGAGAATAAAGAGTTATATTTATCTAATAATTTATGCTTAAATATAATTAGATTGAAAGATAATGAGAATTAAGAAATTAAATCATTTTTATAATATAAATTACTCAAATAATTTCTTTTTCTTTTTCAAGAAAATTGGTTTTTAAATTCTTATTGAGAAAATAAAGAGCCGAAACTTTGAAGGCCTAGCACATGAATCGGACGTCCACGTGTCACGTGTACATTTATATTTACTGCCTTTAAGGCAAGCAATACAATTATTACGGATGCATTTCTGACCGTTGGATTGGATTTAAAACCGGAGGATGGGTTACTTATGACGATGGAGTTAGTTGCGGTTTTGGTGGAATAGTTAGGATTGGCTCCTTTATTGTAGCCTCTAAGCAAGTTCTTGGTTGGTTACCTTCCAACCATTGAGAAGTTGTGATATAAATAAATTTATTTCACTTCTCCAATTTTGTAATTATTGCATCTTAATTTTTCATACATAATAGACCTTCTCAACAAATTATGCTAAAATATTCCTTTTTCTAGACCAATCAAATATTTAATGCATTAATTTTTTGTTTTTATAATAAAGTTCAAATTGATCGAATTTATTTTAAGATAAAAATAATATTAAATTTTGAATTACTCCTTTATCAAAATTATTTTTTTTTTAAATTCTAACAATAAATTGTTAAAATTGTCTCTGATTATTTATATGGAGACGTTTTAATCTCAAAGTTTATAGAAGTATCAAAATAGTCGTCAGACTCTTTAAATTGTGGCAGAAATAGTCCATATGGAGAACTATTACCGCTTAATTTTAAATTAGTCGGGAATTACTATGACACTTCTAAAAAATTTGAGACTAAAAATGTCTTATGTAAATATTCGGGGACTATTTTGACAATTACTCAAAAATCTAATAATTTTGAGATGTATAAAACTTCCATTCCAACTCCTAGTAGGCCACGAATGAGAGAAATTATTAAGTGTGAATATTGCACATAAAACTTTGTATAAATCATTACATTTACTCATTATAATTAATTAGCACATGACTATATAATAACTATGTATTCCATTTTCTTGGCTAAGTAGTGAGTATGCACATGTTTATGTTTATCTTCTCTCTCCTTATCAAAAAAAAAAAGAGTACATAGCTAATTTATATAACTATGTTCTTTGATATATATATATATATAT